CTTTTTTTTTATCCGGATATTTTGTGGATAAATTAAGAATATTTTTAATTTCAGCCCCTTTTTAATACAATGACAGATAAGAAACACATTCGTGATTTTACTGCTTGCAACGTTGAAAAATGTAAGCACATTGCGTTGACGGTAACGCAAAAAGAGCAAATTCTGCAAAAGATGGAAGCAGGTGCTACTCCTCAATTTATAGCAGAATGATATTTAATTGTGACATGATGATATACGGAAATTTATATTATGATATACAGAAAAATAAAGAAAAGCTGTTGAAATTTTACAGCAACAGTGATTCTAACACCGGAATCCGAAACCGGAAATCTTTGCATGAGGCGAAATCGGCAAACCTCGATGCTGTGTACATAGAATAAAATGAATAATATAATGAATTTATAAATGTAATAATAATTTTATGCATATAATAAATTATTGCAATAATGTATATAATAATTTAATTAAATGTATCTAATATGCCTTATTCATTTTGCATTTTTAATCCGAATATTATGCTTTATCTTTTCTGTCCTGAAATCTGCAAAATCCTAAAATCCGCACGACCTCTGGTCCCAAGCTTAGCGGATTTCTGGAATTCTACTGTAATATGATTGGAAAGTTTAAAGGTTATCAAAATGCATCAACCAAGTATAATCATCCGAGGTTGTCCATGCCACCTCTTGCATATAGCTGCAAACAGGCTACTGAAAAATTAATTAGCTCAGAAATCGAAATGTTGTTAATAGATATATATTTTTATTTGGAGAAAAGTTTGAAATGGAAGCATAGCTTCAAAGTTGCTCAACAAATTTTGGAACAGAATGCAAAATCTCATAAAATTTTGAAATATTGCAGTATGAGATGGTTGTCTCTTTTAGAATCTATAACAAGAATTTTGGAACAGTGGGATACTGTGATAAATTTTTTTGGAGATCAACCAGATAACAGTGAGAATGAAGGAAAGAGATTGCAAAACATTAAAAAAATGTTATAATCACCTACCACCAAATTGTACTTGTTATTTTTGAAAAATACTTTGTTCATAACAGTAAATATTAATTTGCAACAACAAGCTCTTTATATACATAAATTTAGAAGAGAACTTGTTGAACTTTTAATGAATTTATTTGTTAGATTTGTAAAACCATCAGTAATTTCTACAGAAAATGAAGATTTTACTCTAACATCTCTTCCATTTCAGAAGTATAGTAAACAAAAAGAAAATGAAAATTTAGCGATTGGTGCGGAAACAAGACTAAAATTAAAAAAATGGCAAGTTGAATGAAAGTGAAGTGAAATCATTTTTCAATTCTGTGAGAGCTTTTTTTTTGCAACTGCATGTTCGTGTATAATAGATAAATTTCCACTAAGTGATTCATTTCTAAACATGCTGAAGTTGCTGACATCAACTTGAGGACTGAAGTTTCATTTTCATCTGTTCTTTACTTGATGAATACTTTTCCATCCATTATTGATGAAAAATATTTCAATCAAGTGGAAATTGAATTTTCCATGTATCAAGTAGATGATTTTAAAGAAATTGTAGATTTGCGTACTGATATAGCATGGGGAGAAATTGCCAAATTAAAAAATATGAATACGTCTATTAAATACAAAGTATTGCCTACTGTAATGCTTGCTGTCTTAATAATACCTCATTCAAATGCAGCTTGCGAAAGAATTTTTTCTATTGTTAAAAAAAATCAGATGGAATTTTGACCAAATTTAGGTCCTAAAACTCTTGAAGCAGTTTTGATTGAAAAAATAAGCATGCAGGCAAATGAAGAACTGTGTTATAAAAAAACATTCTCAAAATCAGAACTTAGGCTTGCTAAGCATGCTACATATAAATCTTTGCATTCGTAAATTATAAGTATTTTTTTAATACTTATATGTATTACTCTTGGTTATTTAAATTATATTTCCCTGCAGAAATCAAATCCAAAGTAAAGATATATGATTTATGGATTCTAATTTTTTCTATGATTAGTAGTGATCTAAAATTTTCATATAATAGTAGATTTAATGCTATACATGCTTGAGGAGTTAAATGAAAATTTCTAATTAAATATGCATATAATTTACAAGGCATATTTTTAATTATTCAGTTTTATAGGCATATGGATTTTAAATGTAACAAAATTGATTACAGTTAATGATTAACTAAAAATTAATGAATGGTAAATTACAACATGCTTTACACGCGCATTTTCAAAGTTGTAAAAATGTTGTTCGCGCGTTGACTACTGACAAGTTCTGCTGCAGGTTGGAGTCTAAGCTTTTCACTTTGACACACGACGATGTTAGCATATGACACTTGACACATCTCAGTCTAAATTAGCCTTTAGACAGTTCAGTCTTTTTTATGTAGAATAATGTATTAAAACATATGACAATAAATTACAGTTTCATTCATTTAAGCACGTACAGATTGCCAAGTAGGATTTCATACTAACTTTCTGCCGTTACAAGTTCCATATGCACAGCATCTCGCCCTTGACTTTCTTCTTGTAGTTCTTGGGATAGCTCTTCATTTCTTTTCAACAGCAATTTTAAATCCTGATTCTGTTGATTTTCTATGGCACGAGTTAAAAGATTTAACACATGATCAACTGCTAAACGAAGTCTTCTACTTGCACCTAATAAACAAATTTTAATTTTCAAAAACATTAAATAATACACAACATAATAAAAACACACATTATTCTACAAAAACACAGTTAAAAATATTTCTAAATAAAAGACATTTTTAAAAATGTTCAATTTTTCACTTTAAAAGTATTTCCCAACAGTTAAAAGATTACTTTTTGCAAACAGAAACATTCATTTACATTCGTCTTTAATGGCCTGCAATTTATACAGCTATACATTTCTACAGTTAGCTTATATAGAAAATAATAATATTTTCTTTAAATTCTTAATTTATGTTATACTTCAATATCATACATTCTTATTTCTGAACATTTTTTTTCAACCAATGAGCACTTCTTAAATTTAAGCAATTTTACATCAATTAACAATCATAGCAATTTGAACTTTGCCAAAAGGATTTTAGTTTAAAATAAATAAAACAAATAAATGAATAATGCTTCATACATTCAAAAATATGCATTGCTTTCTTCAAAAGCAAAACAAAAACAATTAATTACAGTCATGTCCTTTTGCAAGAAATTCAATTTAACCCTCTGAGCGTTATGACAGGCTACATACGGTCATCAGAAGTTTTGCTACTTGGCGTATATTAGCTTATAATTTAAGATATTTTGCTTTCTTACTTTCTTTAATAATGGAAATATTATCTTAATGAATGTAAGTTTCTGAAAATACAGGCTAAAATAAGTAATTATAGAAACTCAATTAATAAATGCTGTTTAAATACTTGTCTTAATAACGGATCTAAAATATTGCGCCACTCAGAGGGTTAAGGAAATATATAGTTCAAATAAAACATAAATGGAGCAGAAACTTGAGTGCAGTATAAATTTCCATGGTTAGTTTCCTGAATTTTAAGAGTTTAAATAATTTTTTTGCTACTTTTGGTCAGATGTTCTGCAAAAATACATTGCAGAATAATCCTGTTCCAAAATCCAAACTTGAAGACGCAATTCAAAATTACACTTTTTTTTTTTTTCTTTTAGACTTCGAAATATGAGGCAAATTTGAATCTGAAAGTTACATTAAGTGTCCTTCCATCACCTGTCAATACTGAAAAAAAATTTCTGTAAAAAATTATCCCCCCCGTCCTTTTTTTTAAATGTTACTTAAAGAAGAAAATTTGTACACATGCAAAATATGATGAATAAAGTATTGTCTAATTAAATGAAAATCTGTACCTGAAATAACATTGTTAAACACTTTTAAATTAAAAAATGTACAATTTTTATTTAGTTGATAATTACCGAGTTATTATTCTGTTTTCTGATATATGTGCTCCCCCACCCACGCCACACACAAAAAACAAACAAACAAAAAAAGAAAGAAAAAAGAATTGACATAAATTACTAAGCATGAAATTTTTCATAAAATTGTTAACATGAATCCTAAGCTCTAAATTTTCATGAATTTTTCACCATTTACTTCATAATTGCTCAGTGAATTCTACCTTCCTCCTCCCCTTCACAATAAAATTATTACTTAACACCAAAAGAATAAGACATAAATAAATAATAAAAAAACATAAATTGATTAATTAAAGCAATAATTTTTTCCTTTCTTCCCCCTCCACAAAAACAGCTTAATAAGACACGCAAGTAAACTATCCTAATTAATTATACTTTTCATATATCATTAAATATCATGTTAGTCAGCTTCTGGTGAAGTTTTGGATAGGTATCCTGGCAATGAATGCATTAAAATTATTTGTTCAAAAAATCATTTGCTTAGTATTTCATACACAGTTAAAAAAAACTTATTATTGTTATATTGTGTACAAAATATTAGTTTCACTGAAGACAATATCTGTAGACCACAAAAAACCAATTTATCAGTAACATTTTGAAATATTATTTGCAAACAATAGTTTAGTCCCAACACCCCTTAGGCAGGAGGAATGGGAGAGAAAAGCTTGGCTATATCATAATGTTACAAATTCATAAAATAAATAACTGCAGACATTTATTAACATAATATTTAGCTACATGAAATAAAGCTGCATAATAAAATTTCCCTACATTATAAATCTTAATTTAAAGCAATGATTAGCTGAGAAAGTATAATTATATTATTGCACAATGAAGGTATTTTTACAAAGGCTATTTATATTGAAATTAAATCTACCAGCAGTTGAGAAGACAGAAGATTGGCAAAGTTATTTCACAGCATAAAATGCAATAGGCAAAATATCAGTGCTCAGAAGCCATTTTCTTTCCTAACACACTATATTAAAAATACAATAAAAATTATTAAAAGCTTTACAATCAATATTATTCTCAGTTCAGAAGAGAATTACAACCTAATAATAAAAATTACCTAATACTACATCTTCTCCTTCCATTTCTGTATCATATGTACCAACGACAGAAAACAAATCCCAGGCTCTAGGTGTGAGATCTGGACCATCTTCAGTCAGTTCAAGATTTGGGCATTCACCAAGACTAAGAGATGTAAAATCTTCTCTAGAACCAACACTTTGACCTGCAATATAAAACAAGAATATTGCATTAAGGAATTTCATCATACTAATTCATACCTCTTCAATACTTCCCACATGCTCAAATAAATAATTCTTAATTCTTAACTAATTGAAAGAAAGCATGCAGAGAGTATATGCTCAAACGGATGGACTTCTTGCAGTATTCCTTCAGATAAAATAGTTCACAATCATGTATGTTATATACATGAAAATTTTTGGATACATTTTCAAAGATAGTCCATTCCACCAATAATGAACCTAAACAAAACTAGCAATGATAACTTAATTTTATTTAACCATTAATTACTGTTCAAGCTTTGACTGGAAAATTCAGTTCAATTGGATTATTTAGATAATGATAAAATAAGGAGGGCTATCTGCCTAAGGGAAGGTATGCCTCTGTGAAAGATTTTTTAAGGAAAACTGGCTCACATTTGTGTTACATATGGGGAAAATAATGCAGCTGGCTGTTCCCTATATTTGAATTCAGATTGAATTATCTGTGTTCAGTAGGCTTGCCTCTTGGCCACTGATGGGCCTGAAAGATGCATCTGAAATATTTTAAAAAGTACATGTTGCAAAGCAAACATCTTAGAAAACTATTTTTCAACAAAATTATTTGTTAGATGGTACTTTATTAAATGCTATCAAGAACTCAGGTTAGAGCTAAATTTGGGTTGTGATTTGGTTATCAGGAACTTAGCAGCAAGTAATAAATGCATAAGAGGTTGTAGGTTGGTAACCTGAAATGTAACAATTGGTCTAAAGGTTATTTTAAGCAGCCTACTTTTTCAAAATATAAATTTCTGGTATATCCTACCTTACTACTTTTATTAAAATAGCTTCAATATTCCACAGTATATTTTTAAGGAAATATTAATTGCATTATTTAGGCATTACATTATTGGGCAATATTTGCAATTCCATAAAAAATGAATATAATATTCTTGTATTCTTGTGGTACAATTTTAAGCATATCACAGCACTACACTGAAGACCTATGCTTGATTCTCAGTCAGAATGTAATGAATTTTCTTAGATTCTTCACTCACAAAGTCTGAATGCCTCTACAAGCTGCAATTTTGTTACTTTGGAAACCCCACAAAATTATAGAAAATTGATGATAAGATAGAACAAAATTAATGTTAACAGACAAAGACTAGGCACAAGATTAAAATATGGTGACAAAAACTAACAGCCAAGTCACAAAAAGAAAGAAGACTTGTAAGCAAGTTATTTCTATCTTGGTACCATTAATGTTTTCTGATATCATTTAATACATAAATACCACATACTCTTTCTTATTCCTCCCACAAAATAAATAAATGTGAAGGAAAATAGTATTTAATATATGTTATGTCATAAACTGATAAAAATTCAGCATTGTATTTTAACTAATTTTGTTTGAAGAATAATATTTATACTATAGAATATTATACTTGCATAGTAACACAAACAATAAGAAACTTCATACAAAGTTAAAGCCAATGAAAAGTCATTTTGCAACAAATTATTTTCAGGTATAATTTTATTAATGCTTTCCTAATTACATGCATTTAATCTATTTTATTAAATAGATGTACTTATACATTTTATCCATTTTAACAGATCAAGCACTTGTTTGTTTATAAGTTGTGAGCCATATTTTAAATTTCATACTTAGATAATACTTCAGATTCAGAGAAAAAGAATAGATCAGATTTGAAATTGGGAAAGGAAAATATAATAGATAAAAGAAAAACACACTAACATCAAATTAAAACTTTTCAAAATTCATCATTACATTAATGATCACTTTATATACTTTCCAGAAAATTTGACAACAGACAAAATGAATCAACAGAGTTTGAGATATAATTCTGCATTTTGAAAGCCACTTTGTCTTCAATAATTACAAATCTAAGAACTGGCTGAGATGTGCCTAATTTTATTGCAGGTACTTCAATGCAAATAACAATACAGTTTAAATGCAGGGTAATTTAAAAGTTCAAAATGTTCAAAATGTAAAATGTACACTGTTTCAGTATAAATTTTATGGAGTTGGAGGAGGGTAAAAAAATCAAATGGAATATCCTCAACCATTTTTATAATTTATTACTAGTGTATATACAAAACATCCATATTTGGGGAAGGATTTACCTGTTTCATCATCATGCTGTTGCAGATTCCCAGCACGAGAAGGTATAAGACCATGTTCTAGAAGATGAGTGTTGATATCATTTTCAATATCTAGAAATGTTTTGACTAGGTCTGATAGCACATGAAGTAAGCGAGAATTGGTCTGCAGCATGCCTGTGGAAAAAAATTACTTTTTTTAAAAACTTGAACTTACAAAACTTTTAAGTGACATTTACAAATCCCAAGAAATTAAGTTGAATTTTTTTTTTAACTATAACTAGAGAAAAGTTTCATCATAAGCACTGTTTAAAAGCAACACAAATTGTACAGATTTATAGACACAAAGTGACATCATTGAAATGATTAAAAAGACAGTTACTAAGCCAGTAAAATAAAATATTTTTTAAGCTTCAAACAAGAATGTATTCAAGTAAAATATTTAAAAAGTCATTTATTGCTTTAGTATATTTTCCCCTTTCTTCTTAATACAAATAACATGTGTCACAGAATAAAATGCACAATACAATATTGTTACTTAGGTAATTTTCCATTCATTTGCTATGAAATCACAAGCAGAAATTAGCAAATGTTAAAATAATAATGAACAGGAATAAGGGGGGGGGAAGGTTCAGAATTTAATTTTTATATTATTTTATTTATTAATTATTTTTATTGCAAAATTACATATATTACATCTGAGCAATATTCTGAGCTCAAATGCATTCAAAATACAAAATAACTCACATAATTGATGAAACTTTAGTACTGATTTCAAATAAAAAGAGCTCAGCATATTTCAAAATATCATAAACCTAAAAAGAGATCTTATCATAATCTCCTAAAATGAACTGAGTCTTCCAATATGAAATTAATGTCAGATAAAAGCTAAATTTCCCAACTATTTATTTATTAAACTGAAGTTAACATGTGTGGCTTGCACCAATTTTCATTTAATACTTTTCTCAACATACAATTAGTATAATTTCCCCAATTTAAGATTTTAATTCATCAGAGATTTCACAATATGAATTCTATCAATTACACATAAATAAAAACATTTTAAAATTTAAATGCACATGTAAGAAATTTATATAGAAAAACTGAAATCACAGATTACAGATGCAAAAAACCCCCTTTCATCTTAAGGGAAATTTTTAGTGCATCAATTCAAAGTGAAAGTGTTCAGTATATTGAAATTAATTTTAAGTAAATCATACATCAAAAGCGCAAACCTGAACTTCTGACATGCTATACTATATAAAAAAACAAAATATTTATTTCAAATATGGAAATTTATTTGAAATATGAAAATAAATATTTGATATTTATTGTACTTATGCACAACACAAACATATATCATTTTTCCAGAGCAGCAGCAACAATTTCTAAAGACAACCTTATGCAGGCTGTATATTCAAAATTACTAATAACAATTCCTTTTTGGTCGTGAAAGATTAACAAATGAAACTGATACAATTATTCTCATTCATATTTCACTATTTATCTGTTTAACTTTAATTTTTTATTTTATACCTTTTATCACTTATACTTATTTGTCGAAAATCCTGCTAGAATTTTAATTAACTTAAAACAGAATAATTCCTACCGCCTGAAAAAAGCAGATTTTTTTGTCAAGAATGTCAGTCAAAAAACTGATGTCCTATATTTCTTCTAAATATACCAAACCATTTAAAATTAATGCTACATAATAACTGAATTTTAGTAAACATTAAAAGCTCCCAATGTTTAACTACAATTAATAGAATTGGAAATTTCTAAAAATGAAAAATATATTTTATTGCTTTTGATAATTGCTGCATTTATTTAAGAAGGGTTATATTTTTCCATCTTCTGCATTAATTAATTTACAGATATTTACCCCCAAAAATCTTATTCAATTTTTATATAAAAATCATTTATTAAAAGAATTTCATGGATTCCTTACTGAAAGCTTCGAAAATTTAAAATAATTTGTAAGTTCTCAAACGAATAAAGCCAGATGCTGGAAAGTATGTAACAGATACGAAATTATTTTTTTCCTTGAATACTTTCCTTTAAATTACTAAAATTGATGGACAATAAAACTAGCATCTAAGAAAAATAAGGTTTACAAAAACAAAGATGCTTTATAAGAATTTCAATTCTTCATTTTGGCAGAGAAAGATTTACATAAAAATTATTTTTAGAGATCACAAGCTGCCACAAATAATTTGTGAGTGTATGTGTGTAATTTTTCAAATATTAATGATTATTCTATCCTGAGAAAAGTAAAATGCATAAGAATAGGACTAGTGGAACTAGTAAATATATTAAGCCAAAATAAATAAAAATACACAAAATAAAATTATTAAATTTTAAAATTCAAAGTGGTTATAATTAAAGTTCCACTTTGAAATGGTCATAAAAAAACATCTACAGGACCAAATGTTATCAAACTTGGTAATTGTGTAAAGGAGGTAATGGTAATTTATTTTCTGCAAAACAAAAGTTAAAAAACTCACCCCCAGGGTGGAAATGGCGCTGTATGCAATATTGTTAAACAGAATAAGACATGAAGACATTTTAAAATGTGTTTAATCGTTTCTGAAATGTGTTACAAAGGAAGTTCAATGTAGCATCCACCATTTTCTGAAAGCAAGTTAAATCGTATCACTGCATTCTCAACAGCAGCTCTTAGCATATCAGGAAGAAAGTTACAGACATGTCAGTGTATCGCATCTTTCAATTCTACCAAATTGTTTAGATTATCAACATAAACAGCAGTGTTTCTGAGATAACCCCATAGCCAAAAGTCACAGAGTTTGATGTTTGGTGACTGGAGCGGCTAAGAAGTGGAAAAGTGTCAGCCTATAATCCTTTCACTGGTGAAATGTTGCCTTAGTAACTGTGTGAAATGTTTTACTAAGGCAACATTTCAACCACCGCAACCAATGTGCGGTGGGCCCCATCCTGCATAAAAATCACTGTGTCTAAAATGCAATGTTGCTGCAGTTCAGGCATCACGAAATGTCTTAACATTCACGCTAAGCGAGCTGCAGTACATGTAAGAGGTCCAGCTGTCAAAACACAAAAAAAGACAAATGATCCAATTATGAAACTAGCTGTCATACCATATCAAACGGTGACTTTAGGAGAATGCAATAGAATTGGGTAGATAACATGAGGGATTTGTTTAGCCCAAATCTTGAAGTTATGGGTTTTGACATCACCATTTTGGTAAAAATGGGCCTCATCTGCCCACAAAATGTTCCATGGCCAATGCTCGTCCATTTCCATCCATGCAAGGAATTCCAAAGCGAAATATTCTCAGGATTGTTAAGTTCAAATTCTTGAACACATCTGATTTTATATGAGTAGAACTGCAGCACTTTACAGACAATTTTGTACACCGTACTCCATGGTATGCTCATTCGACGTGCGATAGCACGTACTTTTGCACTTTCCATTCTTGCTTCCTACACTGCTAATGCAACAATCTCCCTTGGTTTCCTCATAAGCAGGTTTCCTTCCCCTCTCAGGGGCAATAGATAATAAACCCATGACTTTAAACTTTGCCATCATTTTTATCAAACCCTGCAGTGTCATTGGCCCTCGGCCTATTACTCTTACGGTACGATATCTTTGCAAAGCATAGAGTTCATTGCTATCACATTCATGATAACATTTCATGAGAAAACACAGTTTTGCATGGTTTGAGACACTGTCGATTCATATCAATAAAACTCTGACAAATATGATCACTTTTTTATGTGAAAAATCAAAGGATGTGTAAAGTGCATTTGCATAAATCATTTGCTTCTTATGCCTTACACCAATTAGAAGCCATTGTGGGTTTGTATAACCCCACAAACAGAAAAATTAAATGTTTAAAAACATTTAAAAATGATATCTTCGTGTCTTAGTACCAAATTCAGGCCTCACAAAACACAAATTGGTGATCTGTAAGAAAATTATTTCTGGAATGCGCACACTTTTGCGAGTAATTTGAGATCTCACATTTTTTAATTGCTAATTTGTGGTTTTCACAGATGGATTTCTCTGGTACACGGATGGTGCACTCGACTTTTATCGCCTTTAATTTTGTTTAGGCCAATGTTTCTTAAGGGTATACAACATGTTAAACCTGTGCAACAATAGTTAAAATAGATTTTGACCCTTATTTTGTTTAACAATATTGCATACAGTGCCATTCCCCCCTGGCTGTGAGTTTCTTTCTTTCTTTCTTCCCCCCCCCACGGAAAATAAATTCCCATGACCTCATTTACACAATTACCAAGTTTGATAACATTTGACTCAGTAGTTTTCCTTTTATGACCATTTCAAAGTGGAACTTTAATTATAACCACCCTGTATTTTTATTTAAGAATAAAATAATTTTAAAATCCCTTTATATAGAATATTTAAAAAAAAAACTGATAATCACATATATTTTAATTAAAGTACAAACCCTTCAAGACATCTGAGTTTTCCCTGCAGTATCTGCACTGCTGTAAGTGTTTACCCAATCACTAACTAGAACTAAAACAAAGACCTTTTAAGCTTATAAAAATGCCACAACCAACTACATTCTCTTTCACCACTATGCCTTCCTGCTGGCCTTAGCATCTGCTAGCTATTCTCCACTACTATATAATTACATATCTAAAATCGTGGGGCACATTTAGCCCCTCTAGCAATCTACTAATTAAAAAGATAATAAGAAATTCATCATCCAGAAATAAATTATGTTTAACTACCAAACTTGTCATTTTACTTACAAAATTCTATCCAGTTATTCACTATACCACAATTTCGATTCACCTATGCAGCAATTTTTTTCGGCCATGACTAAAAAGTGAATTGGTGCATTCATACACTTCTCTAATTACAAATTATCTGCAACGAACTACATTATCATCACATATATATAATGATTCTACCATTAATTAATAAGAGATGAAAAACTGCATTTATTGTTCCTAAAATGCTTTGTTTGTTAATCTGTAACAGAGTGATTAAACTTGAAAGAACAATTAAATATTTTACACTTTTTTGAATAGCAACACACTGGTGCATGGAAGATTTAAAAATATTTATTTTAGGCTGTAACAACGCATTTCCTTTAAATCCACGAGATTATTGATAAAATGTAAAAGATAAATATCTTACACTTTGTTGAATGGCAACAATATTTG